TACCAACAAAAAGTCCAAAGAGAAGAGGAGAAAGCTCTTGATGAGGACAAGATATTAATAAATAACACTCCAGCATCTATAGTCTGCAAAGCTTGATTCTATCTTTCACATAAATGAAGTGAAGCAAAATTATACTTAAGTTTAAATAAAATAAAATAATAGATGAAAAGCTGATAATAATAATAATAATAATAGTTGAAAAATCATTAATAAGAGTAAATATGTCAGTAGGAATTTATCTTCCAAATCAAAGCCAATGAGGGCTTTGTTTAGTGGTTAAATGACAGACAGTCTATATAATAAGTCCCAGATTTGAACACTCTTCCTACCCCAAACATCATTGGAAAAAATAAAGGGGGGCTACTTTAGCCTTTAGCACTATACGGTTGGTAGTTCAAAAGGCTCAAGAATAAAGAAGATTGCCATTATTAAAAAAAAAGATATTCTACTTTAGCACTATAGGGTTGGTAGTTCAAAAGGCTCAAGAATAAAGCAGATTGCCTGCCATTGGTAGAAAGGTTATTCAAAGGAAAATATGCAGATCACAAGAAAAAATAAAATCTTTTCCCACTATGTCTGCAAAAAAACAAACAGTCTTGCAACACAAACCAATAAAATCTGCATTAGGCCACAGCAACAGTATGTCAGAAACAAACAATTTCAGATTTGCTTGATGTATCCTGTAGTTTTGAGAGGGAGTATAACATGACAAGCTAACCAAAATGTAAACAACATTGATCCCACAAAACATCCATAGTAACTGCTAACCATCTGAGGGTTTCTTAACTAGTTTAATGCCGAAAAAAGGATACTAATTTAAAATCCATTCTATGCTAAGTAACATCTACATTCATATACTGTTTTCCCCTGTCTCATCATTCACCAATTTCAACTGATACACGATTGAATAATACTCACAATCATTTTACAACTACTAGAATCTTATGATTCTCAATTCAGCAATTTCTTATTGAAGAACAAAGTGGGAAAACTTGATACAATTGCTCCATAAATTAATAACTCAAAATCATCAAGAAAAAGTCTAAAAACAATTTCCTACTCATGATTTTCTACTGGGTTTTTCTTTCTCATTCTAAGTATGAAATGAATTTAACTATTCATAATAACAAATAAGGTACAGATAGAGATAATTTCAAATAAAAATTGTGGCTTACGCTGTTGTTTCTTGGCCGCCTCCTTGAGTACCGGTACTAACAAAGAATCCGGCCGGTTTCCCAGCGAGCGTCTGCTCTTTCCACAGCTGCCCCGTGGAGTCGAAAAATGTCTTCATCTGCGCCGCCATGCACCCATACCTAGTCGGGAACCCAAACAAAACCCCATCCGCCTTCGCCAATTCCGCTGCCGCAATCTCCGGAATCTCCTCGTCCTTTGGCGGCGCCTTCATTTGCTCAAGCACCTCCGCCGACAGCGTCTCCGGCACCCGGTACAGCTCCGCCTCAACCCCCTTCACACCATCCACTCCCTTCTTCATCCTCTTTGCCAATTTCTCAACGTGACCGTACATTGAGTAAAACACAATGAATAATTTCAAATTAGCAACTGTGAAATTCTCCGTTGCGGGAGTCTCGGAGGTCACTTGATCTTCGATAGCGATCGGCGCGTCGGTGGCGCTGCCACGGTTGGAAGCACCGTCAAGGACTATGTTCTTCTTCTTGCTCGGAACGCAGCCACCTCCCTTCCCCATCGCTGATTACACTGCACTAAACCCAGAGAATTCCGATCCTGAGAAGGAATTGTGATCAGGGAGTGCCTGCCGCCGGAGAAAATGAGACGACGGCGAAGGTTTTTTGAAGATTTTTGGATCCTGAGGGGATATACTTCTTCAGGAAGGAAAGGGCTGGCAGTTTCCAATTTTGATTATCTGGGATGCATGAACCTTGCTGTGTTTCCTTGTACGAAAGAATGACGTCGTATTGATGTTGGACTTTTTAGGTTAAGATGGCCCAGAAGAACAAAGCTACCAGTAAGTAATAGCTTCAAGGCCCATAATCAAGCCTGATCTGTTTTAAATAATTGGGCTACTTATTATACTACTAGACGAAAACCCACAATATGGTCTTTTTTATTTTTGAATTTTTTTAACTTATATTCTTAAAGTGCATGTTAAAAATATCTGTTTGATATTAATTATTATTAAAAAAATAAAAATTAATATTTATTTAATCAATCATCTAACTAAAACAATACATGTAACATTAATGATAAAATTAATGTCAACTTTTGTTACTTTCTATACTAATTAATATCAAAAAGATATATTAATTATATCCTTAACCTTGTCCTTAAAGCCTAGGTTAGATAAATCCTTCTTTTTTTGTTTTTTTAGAGCAATAGGTTTGATTGAAATAATATAGTTGGAACACCAACAAGAGTTTAGTTTAATTAATACTCAACAACTTAAAATTATTGATTTGAAGAATTATATCTTAACAAAATAATACCATTGTACCAAAAGGTGCCATAGGTCCAGTTGTCTTTGGGTTTAGACGCACTTGAAAGAGAGCAATCTAGAAAACCTTAATGGTATGTTTAATTTGAAGAAAATAGATGGGAGGATGGGATAGATTTTTTGATTAATTAAATTGTAATATTTAAAAATATTATAATTTGATTGATTGAAAAACTCACCCCTCTCCTTCTCTTCCCTCAAACTAAAAACTATATAAATTAACGGCTTAGAGAATCCATACCAATTGTTTGAGACATGTACCATTGGATCATATTCAGAACACTTGGTTTAGGTTAGAAAAATCAAAATGGTTAATGAAACCATTAATAATAAGAAACATTATACTATGGCGGCCATGTGCTAGAGCAAAGGGGCGATGCACACAGCTTTGAAAACGAAGGGATACTCATATGCCACATGCACACCGACGCTCCATCTCCATCCGTATCCTGTACAACATTTTCAATGAGTTTAATCATAAGTTATGGGGTCAATTAATTAATTAAAAGTTACTTAACCGAGTTGTATACTTGTATGTAGAATCTTTTATTATTACTTAAACACTAAAAGATTGATACGAGGGAGCAGTTAGTAGAGTGTTAATTAATTAAGCATGGGGAATCATCTTAGATTAATGTATAATGTATATGTGTGGAGTGTGGACTTTTTATCTTTAGGAAAAGCAAGCAAATTAATGGTTTGGTTTCCAATAGAATAGATTAAAGGCCAACGCTCTCTTCATAGACTTTCATTTTAAACTTTTTAGTATTTGACTATTACCTTTATCACCGAAGGTTAGATATTGGTTAGGTTGATTGCCTAATTTTGCATACATAGAAAGGAATACTTCATTTATTAGTATTGTATTGTATTATATTATAATTATATGTTCTTTTTACTTGTATATTATTATTTTTAAAAATATATAAAATACTAATTAAAATTAATAAAAATTACTATTATAAATATATAAATAAAAGCAGTGTGTGAAAAAAGGAAAAAATCTATATCAAGCACTGACAAATGAAGTCAAGTCATCGACTTGTCTAGATAATGCCCCAAATTCAGGCGTAATTCAAGGGTGGTCAAATTAAAATAAAAGTATAAACCATAAAGGTTCCTTTGTAAAGGCATGCCTTGCGTTCATAGGCTCGCACTTAAAGGCCAAGGTGTGGAATTTAGTGCGGGAGGAAGGAAACATGGATGGATATCGTGTGTGGCATATGCAACACAAACAAAATTTGACTCGAAATGAGAGTCACTAATGGAGAGGACACCGTTGGATGCAACGACTCTTGTTTTTTAACAAAATCAACTTAATTGCATGTACATATTAAATCGACTGGGGGGGGGGACAATTGGGCATGCCATAGATGGTTTTGGATAAAGAATCGATTGGATGCCAATCTCTTTTTGTACACAAAACTAATTTCCACGTATAAAAAGGTATGTCTAGCTATATATATGTCGTGCCTAGTTAGAGAATTAGGTGCAACAGACAGACAATGTTGCTGTGTTATCTTTCCCACACCCATCACTCAAGAAAAGCTTGAGAAAAAGCCTGCCGACCATGTATATTTGATGATACTAAATGATGAAGGGACCACACTGCACATTCTTGTGAAAAAAAGAGAACGAAGAATTAAGACATTGGATGATCACGAGGGGAATGGATTCCATTAGCCCTAATTAAAAGATGGAAATTCAATTACTAATTGTTGTTTAGCATCAAAATTGAAGTTGGAAGATGGGAAACAAGAGCTGGAACTGTCGGGATATAAATGACAAATCATTAGTTTAAAGCCTTTGATTTGGTTTATATATTACTTTAGTCACGGCAAGGTTTTAGTACAACTCAAATGCACACAAAGGAATCACTCCCACACCATGTGCATCTTCCTCTCTAAACAATCACAGAATGTGTAATTAATTGCTTAAATTGACTTTAAGTTGCCGGCTGATAGAAGAATCTCATCCCATTTTCTATGGTGCTCGGGTTTCTCATCCTTATCCTTTCTCTCATCCCATTAATCTCTACTTTAATCCAAGTTACCCATTGTAAAGAGGTAGAAACCATCACATTTGCAAACATATTTATATTTATCTCCGCTTGCTTAAAACAATGCCGGCCAACTTGTATTAGGAAGTTGTCACAAATTGAAGAATATGTGGGAGGGCCACCACTCTCACCTCCCCCATATCTTTTTAGTCCAATAAGGTTAAATATTAAAAGCATCATTCATTCGTTAATATCGAACCCAATCAATGCTTCCCTTGACACTAACAATACCACTCCAATATAGTTATCGATCGAAAGTGCTCGATGAAGCGGGTCAACATGGGTTCAGTGTTCAGAATGTTACGCGTGTCCCATAGGCCCTTATTTAGACAAATTAAGAAGGGTACCAGCTAGTGTTCCTCTGCTGCATGATGAAAGCCCTTTAACCAAATTTGGGAGTAAGCTTTGGTGACATAATCGTGTTATTTATAGCAATAATATTATTGGTATAATATCACATAAAATTATAAATTTGTAATTATAATATATCATTACATAGATAAATATATATATTATTATATATAAATTTTTATATAAAAATTAATTATTTGTAACATAATATATTAAAATTTTATAATATCATGTGACATTATAATTATACGATTTTTAATTACTGTACTAGATTTTCAGTATCTATCATGTTAGGTGGATTTTTTTGCGTAAAACTGGTGCAATCCATTTTAAGCAGGAACCCAATTGGGGTTATTTTAGATAATGATGATGAAATCAATTTCAAACAAAATGGAATGCACATTACAAATCTTGGGTTTCTATTTTTGGTTCTGTTTGTTAGGCAAATGGATTTACACGTGGATGGATGAAGGGCATGCGGTCCCAGTTGGTGCATAAGGGGAAGTGCCACGAGTAAAAGTGTTCAATTGCAACCCATGTGCATTTCCTTCAACAAAACCAGCAAGCATTCGTCACACCTCCCTGGAGCCAAGCCTTTTGTTTTGGCTCGGTTCTCGGTTTTCGATTATCGGCTCGGCGCTTTTGTAAATTTTTTTTTTATTAATTTGTTGATATGTAATAAAAATATTAAATTTGATTAATTTAAAATTGAATTAGATTAGATATTATTAAGTAAAAAACTCTTTTGACACTTATTTTTTTATTTATAAAATTCAAACTAAAAATTTTATTTAAGAAAACTAAATTTCTTTTGTTCAAGCTAACAAATCATTTGTTTTTATAAATTTCTTTAACTGATATGCTTGGAAACTTTTACCAAAAAAAAAAAAAAAAGGGAAAAAAGAAACGCCTGGAAACGAGGGACTTTTCACCTTTTCGGAGTGAATCGTCTCCGTAAATTCACTTTTACTTATGTTAACTTCGAACATTCCCCTTTATGCTCTGTTTGGGTAGAGGCTTTAGTTGAGTAGGAAAGTCATTATTAGAACTTCACCAAACGGTTTAATGAATAAGTCGCGTGTTTCATTGAGGGAGATGAAATATTTATTAGATTTGAAAATTGAATCTTCGATTATTAACAACTAATAAAATTAACTTATTAACCATTGTTTTTGTCAAAAAAAAAAATAGAAAGTCATTATTAAAAAAGTGATTAAAAAATATTATATAAACAATTGATAAGTTTTATAGTAGAATTTGTTAAAATTTTATTATATCATTAATTTTTTGTATTTGGTTAGTAATTAGTATAAAGAGAATTACTAAAAAGGTTGTTAAGTAAACTTTATGTAAGGAAAGTAAAAAAAATAAATTCTTGAAAAAATGTGAAGATTAAAGTTTACAAATTAAAAATTATGTTAAAAAATAAATAATAAAAATGCCACTTTAAAGGCCTGTTTGGTTGAAAAAAAATTTTCTCAAAAACCTTTTTAAACTTTTTTTTTATGATGTTATTTACGTATTTTAATACATTAATATTATAATAAAACAAAAATAAAAATAATATATTTAACCTTTATTTTCTTTAATACAATTTCAAACTCATAAACTAACGATTTCTTACTTTTTCTATGTAGGATCTATTTTACAATTTTATTATGAATTTTTTCTATATTTACTTTTTACTAAATATGCAAAAAGTTAGCCATTCAATAAAATTTAGTAAAAGTTTACAGTAAAAAAATTTTTTTTACTATATTTATCAATCAATACTCAATAGCCAAAACCATAAGTTAAGCCCCTAAACTAACCCCAGAATTGCTATTAAGCCCCTAGATTTTAATTGATACATAAAAGCTCCTAAACTCTACAATAGAAGCAATTTAGCCCTTACTCTCACAGCAACTTAACTGCTGTTAATTGCCATTTGGGGACTGCCTCGTATGGCGAAATATGACCATCTCATATGCCTATGTGGCAAGGGATTTAACATTTGGTGTGTCCACCTGGACGCAAAAAAAAAAGGGGAAATCATTTAGGAAATTTTTCTTTATATAATTTTAAATGTCATTTAAATAATTAATGCTTTTTATTTATGAATTTGTCTAGCATATATCTTAAGGGCACAAATTAAGAATACAATAAATACATTTTTTAAAATAATTTTATGTTAAAAAATAAAAGTTAACATTTAATTTTTTAACTATTCAATTAAATTTATCAATTTAGCACCAACACTAAAATTAATATCTATTTTTATATATTTATGATTAAAAAATACTCTTAATTTGTCCTTTAAAAACACAGGTCAAAAAAATTTTTTATTCTTTTAGAGTAATAATATTAAGTATATTCACTCAGTTAATAACAGTGAAAATTGTATAAAAAATTACACAAAAAAATTATTTCTAGATCACCAAAAAATAAATAAATAAATAAAAAGAAACCTCAAGTGATATAGGGACTACTTTTTTCTTTTCTTTCTCCATTTGTTTTTTTTTTTTTTTGTAATATAGGAATAACTTTTTATACAAATTTTTTGTATAACTTTTATATATTATTAAATGAGTGAATGTATTTAATAGTATAGATCTCAAATAAATAAAAATTGTTCTAATATGGCACAGGTTAAAGGGTTTTTTTTTTATCATAAATGTATATAAAAATATAAAAATTGATATTAATTTTAGTGTCGATGTTAAATGGATGAATTTAATTGGATAGTTAAAAAATTAAAAATTAACTTTGACTTTTTAACATAAATTTATTACAAAAAAATATATTTATTACATTTGTAATTTGTGTTTTTAGAGTATAGATTAAGCAAACTTATGAATAAAAAGAGGTAATTGTTTAAACAACATATAAAATTGTACAAAAAATAATA